TTTTAAGCAATTACCATATAAGGTGGTAGAAAGGTATTAATAAAAGAACTTCTCACAATCATTTTCATTCGCATTAGAAGGAGAGAAAATCATGCTAAGTTGTTTGGTAAACTTGGACTCAATATAAATACGGGGACAATTCACGTGATATTTGTAAAACTCTAAAATTATGGGATGACTGAAATTACTGCACGGTTTCATGTGATCTAATTTTATTTCTTAAAAATACACCTAATTGTGCAAACACAAGCACCAAAACAACAAAAAGTAGAAATGAGAGAGAGGGGGTGGGGATACCGGAGACTCATGCCGACGACGACATCGGCAACAGGGCTAGGGCTAAGGCAACGACATGTTTTCTAGCATAAAATCATACTATTCTATGTCATCTTTGCCTCCACAATCACCTCCGACCCTTTCAATGCTTTTGTTATTTTTTTTGCAAAAACCCATGGGCTCGATGAATGTTCCTTTTTTTTTAATTCTTTCAATTTTCTTCATTTTAGAAATTGCAGTGTTTGACACCGACATTGCAATTGGTGGTGGTGGTACATATGCTTGGGGATCTGTGGCGGACACTAAGGGGGGCATGGGAGTCTTGACCCCCCCACTTTTGGGGATTTTTTTATAAAGTCGTATTTGGTACAAATTTAAATTTTAATCTAAATTAAAGTTAACAGTTAATTTTAATAACTTATTTATGGGACCCATCGCTTTTTAGCTTTTATCAAAATGTATTAAAAATTTGATTTTAATTCATACCAAATAGTGGCAAAATCACAATAGATTTGAGCATTCTCTTTTCTCTCTCGCGACTCTTTGCCTCGGGCCTTTTACATAAACTTTAATCATTCTAATTTTTCAAAATTTTATCTATATTTTCTTCACGAATTACTACATCTACTACAAATATCCACTTTCCAATCAAATTTTTAATTAATTAGAACCTTGCCACTACAATTTCGATGTCACCTCCATTTGCGTGACCACCAGGCATAGTCAATTTAAGTTTTTTTTTTTTTTTTGATGCAGTCAATTTAAGTTATTTTGCCTTTGAGAATTGAAATATGTTAGTGACAATACAACGTTAATTTATAAAATTTTACTTTTATTTTCTTGACCAAAATTTAAAGTGATAGAAAAAATTGGTTTGAATTACATTTATAGAGTGTGTTTGGTAGGGATTTTTGGGGGAAGAATTGATTTTTGAATAGTGGTATGATGGGAAATCCGTGGTTGAAAAAGAAGAAAAAAATATTGATGTGATGGAAAATATTATTTTATTGAAGAATGTGTGGTTGAAAATGAGAATCTGCACCAAACAGGCCCTAATATGTTTACATTCTGTCCAATTTATGTTCAGAAATGTTTTTGAATATTGTATATTAAATTGTGCCAAATTGATTTAGAATAAGTTTTGAATGATTTATGTTATAAAGAATTCTTTTTAATTTATCTACGTGTAATAGTTTTGGAATGAATATGTCCAACTTGACTTATTTTTAACAAATTATGTTTATTTGATGATTATTAGCCCTTGTTTGGTCCTCATTATTTTCAAAACGATAGCTCAAGAATAACTAATCAAGAGGGAATGAATTGATTTTAATTTTTTTTTTTTTGAAAAATAAACTTAAATAAAGCAAGTTAAGAATACATTGATCAATTAATGATCGTATGAAAATAAAAGCAACTAAATCATTCAAATAATACATATAAATGAAATAACGACAAACAAATGGACAGAGAAGATACAAACGATATAATTAAGGAAGTACGATCCAAAGCAACAATTTACGTCCTCTGTTACCAAACTCTCCAGTACGAGTAAGACATTTTCACTCTATTGATTAATTTATAGTGCAATTCAACCATTTACAACGTTTCCAATGAATTACAAACAATGAGCACAAATCTTTATACAATATTAAGTTTCACGTTACCTCAATATGACCTACAAATATTATAAAATAATTTTACAGTGAACTCTTCTCTTGATAAAGATACAAATTAATTAAGTACTAAAATAGGCTAACGCTTCAATGAAGCAACAAATGATAGCTCAAGTATTAAATGAAAATTTCAGATAGCTCAAGTATTAAATGAAAATTTCGATGAATATGATAATTAAAAGTTTGATTCAATTAATCAAATTCAATTAGAAGATGAAGAAGAAATAAGTGCAATATAAGTTCAAAATTTTTCACAAAATAAATCTTTTTAATGAATAATGGTGATAAATTAAATATCAAAAGAAAGATGTGAAACTTTGATAAATATTATGATTTTAAAAGTTTGATTCAATTAATCAATTTTTTTACTTGGAAAAGTAGAAGAAATTGATACAATGTAAGTTCGAAACTTTTCTTCAAAATATATCTGTTTTTTATGAATGATTAAAACAAGTTAAGTACAAAAAGATGGATGAAAAACTTAGATGAAGATGATAAAAAGAGTTCGAATCAATTAGAGTTTTTGATATAAAGAAATAAATGAAACGAGTGTAATGTAGCCTCGAAGAATTCTCTCAAAATATATATCACTTAATGCTCTTGAAAAACTTCTAAATAATGGAAAGATCGAGGTATTTATAGAGTTCAAAAGGCAAAATAATATGTCAAATCGAACAATCAACCGGACTTTTGTCCTTGTGTTCGGATGATCAAAATAGCTGTTATGTGTTTAAAATCATAACGGTTAAAAATTCGACCGTTGCATAACCGGACGATTGCCGAAACTCTCTAGGATTTGTTTGGTCAGTTTTTTCATTCTTTACCCCGTTTGATTTGATTTGAATTTTTTGAAAAATGTGGACTATTGGAATGAGTTTTTTTAACGAGTTTTCAAGGCAACTGATGTTTTAAAAATATGATCTAAGTTTAAACATAATTTTGAAAATCATTTTACTTTTGATTAAAACATTTTATGCAGGTGATAATTAAAATAACTTTTATTACACAAAATGATTTTTGAGTTTTTTTATCATTCGTTTCTAAAGATCAAAGTGTTAGTACATTTACATTTGAACTACAAAATCTAGTCTTGATATTTCTTTGACATTGTTTCTTAAACTCTTGATTTTGATCTTTCTCTGACGTTTGTCTTTTAAAATCTTTTCTTGAAGGACTTGTCTTGAATGTGTGATTTCGATCTTCATGAGTTCAATTTACGATTGTCTTAATATTGATCTTTTGATTACCATCGATCAATTTATCATTGAATGCTTTGAAGACTATAATTACTCAAATTTAATTGTTAGAAAATAAGATTAATTTGTTTGTTGTAATCAAAACTTTAAGGTTACAATCAACTTCAACACAAAATATATTTCTCTCTTATTTTCAGCCACGCATTTTTCAATAAAATAATATTATATGCAAACAAAAAACTTTTTCATGTTTTTTAATAATGCATTCTCCATCAAAATAGTATTTCAAAAGTATCTTGCTTTTATTTTAGATTTTTTTTGTCTTATTTTTAATATTTGTTTTTCCTGACTATCTGTTATCCTTTTTGGTACATCTTCTCTTTGTGGTATTAGTAATACATTATCTATTTGTTGGTGTAATTTATACATAATATTAAGATCTTTTTCAAGTTTTCTTTCAATTTTTTTCCTTACTTAGTTAAATATTATTTTTTATAATGATTCAAAATTTTCTTTACAATATAACATAATTTCTTCTTTTTCAAATTCCATAATAATCTTTTCGTATATATATTCATCTATTATAGATCCTATTATTAATTTATCTAATATTTGTTCTTTTATTTCTCTAGGTAATTCTTTAATTATAATTAATGTTATTATTTTAAATTTTTTAGGAAAGAGTTCTATAAATATATAACCTCATTGATTTTCTTCTAACTTATATTACCAATCTGTTTTAGTAATTTAACTTCCATGATTTTTATTATAACTTTTCTTTATTTTCTTTTATTTTGTGGTCTTTATAGATCTATGGCTTTGATACCAAATGTGGGGGAACTATTATGAGCGAACAAAAATATAATAATCTTTAAAATCTGATAATCTTAAAATGGTTCTCCAGAAATTCTTTTAATATTATAAGAATTCTTTTAATAAGGCTAAACTTATTCTATTATTTATTATAGATATATAAAATTTTAATGTTAACTTAAATTTTAATTTCTTATATTCCTGAGGTAATCTGTTTGTAATAAGTTTTCTCATTTATAGAGTTTTAAGTAAATCTTTAAAATCTATTAATGTTTGAAAATTTATAATATCAAAATCTGTTATTATATCTATGTTTGGGTTAAAATGTATATCATATTTTAAAATATTATTTTTCCTTTTTTCTAATTTGTCTATAATATCCTGTATATCTTTTATTATTATAGATCTTACTATTCCCTTAACAAAATTTTCTATCATGTTTTCCTCGAAGCATTTTAATATTTTTTGAGACGTATTTAATTGTTCTTCATATCCAATTTTATCAAATTCAATTATTTCCCATTATTAAGAGGCATGATGGGGCGGAGTTTAAAATATCTTCTATTTATTTTTATGTCGATTTTAATTTATAAAAACAAAAAAGAGTCAAGACGAAGACCATGTTTTCCTTGCTGCCTCAATTTTCTAACTACAAGAATTTGAGACAGAACAATGCAAGACAGACGTGATCATATTTACTTTGTCACCGTCCCATCTCAATTTCACGACGTTCAAGAATTTGACAAGGGACACAATCAAATCATTTTGCCACGGTTTCGCCTCTATTTCCTCACTAGAGGAAGGAATCCAAGAAGGGATATGATTGGATCATTTTGTCATCCCTAGTCTAATCGCTTACTGTATATAAATAATAAAAGGGGGGGAAAGGAAAAAATAAATAGAAAAAGGCAAAGGCATCAGTCATCAGATTCTTTCCCCTTGGATCGATTGTATATAACAGCCACACACTTTCCATTTTTCATCTTGATACAAATCATTGCTCTCTCTCTCCAGTAATTGATTCATTGGAGAAAAGAAAATGGCGGATCAGCTGACCGACGATCAGATCTCCGAGTTCAAGGAAGCTTTCTCCCTATTTGACAAGGACGGCGATGGTCAGCCCTCTTCCCTTCCTCCCATTGTATTTATGTCTAGATATTTATATTTTTTATGTAAATTTTTTTGTGGGTTTTCGATCCGTTATGAATCTGTATGCATATCCGTGTCTACATATTTATAATTTAATGTGAATTCTTGGCGGGTTTTGATCTGTTACTTTTCTGTCAGCATATAGATGCGGATTCTTGTTGGGTTTTTTTGATCTGTAAGGCCCGGATCTACTTGCTGGCTTTTTTATTATTAATCTGATTTTGATTTGTATATATGGGTCTCTCAAATTTTATTTTGCCCAATCTAATTCCTGTAAATTGCTCACTTCGTTTGGTGTTTCTATGCATTGTGATTATGTGTCTAATCTGTATTAACTGTACTCGTGATATCCAGATCCTTGCGAGATGCATTACCTGTTTATGAATTAGTAAATATGTGTTTTTGTACTTTTTTTTTGTTTGACATTTTACTTGATTTTTTCCCTGGTGGATGTGATTGGGTTTGAGTTTTTTTGTCAATGCTTTATGAAATTAAAGTTGATTATTGCGAATGAGACTGAGGGGTCCTAAGGGGTCTTGCTCAATATAATTTGACGCAAATCCTTGTCATTCCTCATGACTGTATGGTGAGACTCGGTGAAAAAAGTGTAGTTTCTACAAGTAGTTAGGAGTACATGTAATTATGGTTATATTTTTTATAATGGAATCTGTGGAGTATTTTAAATCAAACTATTTGGTAACTGTAGTTGGATTTTGTGGCTTCTATGTAAGCAAATTAAAGATTGTTTGTTGCTGCTCGTAAACGCATTTGATTGCCTAGATTTTAGCATTGATTATCTTGATTGCCTTTGGTTTTATAGAAAATCTTTTCTTGTGCCTTTTTGATTATATTAAAGACCTGAGGAAATAATTTTTTTACCAATAAATCTTCATGTAACTTGTAACGATTCTTTTGAACGAGTTTAAACTTTAAAATTTAATTAATCCACATTTCCAATTAAGAGTAAAATTAATTTGTATTTTGTGAATATAAGCAACTTGCAGGTTTTCCCTTAGTGACTTACCTATGCATGAAGTGTGTAAATCAGTCATCCGCGTATGTTGATCTAATTATTGTCTGAATTAAACTTTAATACGTTGTCTAGCATTATTATAGTGTTGTTGCCATCTTTTAATTATTAACTTCTATTACCTTAGCATTTTTGATGTATTTGTGGCGCTTAGTCTATTTGAATGATTCATTGCCATTTATTAAATACATACATTTTACATCATGATAATTACAACTTCTATCATCATGAAATAATTCTTTTTCAGTTTTTGTTTGTTATGGTAATAGAACTTGTGCATAAACTTCTTATTTTAGCTATACAAGTCGTTGGTATGGTTATCAGATTCTTTTATAATTGCTTGTGAATTCTATGGCAGGTTGCATCACTACCAAGGAGCTTGGGACTGTGATGCGCTCTTTGGGACAGAATCCAACGGAGGCTGAGCTTCAGGATATGATCAATGAGGTTGATGCTGACGGGAATGGGACAATTGACTTCCCAGAGTTCCTCAATTTGATGGCCCGGAAGATGAAGGACACTGATTCAGAGGAGGAGCTCAAGGAAGCTTTCCGGGTTTTTGACAAAGACCAGAATGGCTTCATTTCTGCGGCTGAGCTTCGCCATGTTATGACGAATCTAGGCGAGAAGCTCACTGATGAGGAGGTCGATGAGATGATCCGTGAGGCCGATGTTGATGGTGATGGGCAGATCAACTATGAAGAGTTTGTGAAGGTCATGATGGCCAAGTGAGAACCCAACAATGCAAATATAAATCTTTGGAAGTATCGAGATAAGACCCCAGAAAGGAAAAATGTCAGTTAAGTTTGACAGTTTCGGTTGCTGGTTAGGATGTGGTCTTCTTGCTTTATCAGCTTTGTTTTGATGGTTGCCCGTTTTCTTGTTTGCGTCGTTTTTAAGTTATGTGTTTTAAGTAAATGCTTGTTTGCTTTGTCTGTTTTTGTAGTTTGGATTGTTAGTATCTTCATCTTTCTTTCGACATTTGGTGTTACGAACTTAGAGCAATTGGGAACTTGGAAATTTTTTCTGTCAGTGACTATTTTTGTTGACATGCCAATTTGTTAACTATGTTACTATCCGTTTATTTAATAGTTGGATTTCTATAGTCGTGATTGCCTATGTTCTGATATCGAAAGCGCATCATTCATAATTTTGCATACTGCTGTCATACAATGCATGTAACATAATTTTCAGCATAGTTCTTGGTTTCCCACCAGTTGATGTGCATGAGGAGGGGTGTGTTGGTTTGTGTTATTTCAAGTCTAATTTTTGTTTCTTTTTATTCAGTTCCGTATACTATCCCTTACTCAACAAGCCATTAGTGCATATGGAATGTGTACGTGTTTCAGTGTTTGGTGTCCTTTTCATTTTGGTCTCCCATGCGTCTCTCCATAAGAATGGTCATCATCTAGAGGGACCCTTTTCTTTTCTTTTCTTTTCGTTTTGTATTTGTATTTTGATTGAAAACAATCGACTATGGTTGTAATCATCCCACAATTAGGGCAGGCTCGCGAGCTGAAACTCGAAGCTCGGGCTCGGCTTGAATACAAATGATTCAAGCTTTTTTTTGCTCGAGCCGAGCTTTTGCTCAGCCAAAAAATCAAGGCTCGACTCGAGCTTTTAGCTCGGGCCTTATTCAGCCGAGTTGGGCCGAGCCAAGCCAGCTCGTAATTTTTATGTTTTTTGTGAAAAAAAGGCAGCCACTCAGCTGCTTGCAATAACAGGCAGCGCTTCTCCTTGCCTGGTATTGCAGACAACTACTGTAGCTGCCTTTAGCAGGCAGTAGTAGCTGTCACAATACATGCAGCTACACGTAGCTGTCTGTGCAAGGTAGCTTATGTGTAGCTGCCAAAGCTTTTTTTTTTATTATTATTTTTTATAAATTTGCTTACGGATGCTTCAAAATGGGGCTTTTTTGGGCCGTTCCACGGGCCTCTCCGAGTCAATTGACACCCCCACCCACGATGGTGCAACTGGCGGGGGGTAAAATTTGGAAGTTCTGATGCAGAAGTTGGAATATAGTTCAAAATGGTTAGGGCTTTTGGGGTTTTGGGTCCTCTTCCTCTTACACTGATAGATATCCAGTAATTCTTGGAGGTTTCTGGACTTGTAGTGAAAAGCACTGAATAACTCTCACCAGAGCATATGTCCATAATGGATAGAGGCTCAAGATAAGTTCCATCAGCTTCAACCAGCACCATTTTGCGATTCTGTGGACATTGAAACAGAATGTTTAGGATTTTGTATTAATTTAAGAGTGAAATCTAGTACTGTGATTAAGAGTTAGTGAAGGCTGAAAAGAAGAATTCAATGCATAAACATAAATTGTACAAGTTTAGCTACTAAATGGTGACAGGAGAGGTGTAAAGTCGGTTCGAATTGTGAGAAGCTTGCTTTAATTTTCTCGGGCCTTAGTTGTGTTTTGTTTTTTATAGACGTGCTGTGCTGACTGGCCGGCCAAAGCCAAGCTGCCTGGGCCATTTTACATGTGCAAATAGAGCGCAATGTTTTCCTTCTCGATTTTAATTTCCAGAACACGTATGATGATTTTTCAGTCTCTTGACATGGATTAAACAAAGGTTATCATTTCTCGAAAGTTTTCTTCATCTTTACAACACTACTCAACGTTCGCCATGTTTGATTGCAACGAATTCCATGGAAAATGTCACATTCGAGAAAAATGAATTCTCTTTGATCGTTTGATTGCAACGTGAGAATTGAAATCGAATTCTAAGGTATAACCACTTTAAGCTGTATTTTCTTTATTTTTATGGAAAATTAATTTTTATGAGTTTGATGAGTTTTTATTTTCCAATTAACATGGAATTGGAATTCCTTTCCACATTTACCTATCAAACGGACCCTAATTTCTTCTATGAGAAAATGATTTCTCAAGGCTCGTCCTGTCAACAAGTGGCTTCTTATGGCCCTGCACCGATGAGGTCCCTTCATGAAAAATCTGAAACTGATAATATCAAGGCTATCCCTAACCATATTCAGCTCAGAATGCTGCTTAAAGCCCTGTGATTTTTAAAGTTCAGTGATGTATGATGATGCAGTTTCTAAAGTTCAGTGACTAACCACGTAGTTTTTAAAGTTCAGTGATCTGGTGGAAACTTTCGGTAAAGTTCAGTGACTATTGGGGTAATTAACCCGCTAAATGGTGACAGGAGAGGTGTAAAGTCGGTTCGGATTGTGAGAAGCTTGCTTTGATTTTCTCGGGCCTTAGTTGTGTTTTGTTTTTTATAGACGTGCTGTGCTGACTGGCCGGCCAAAGCCAAGCTGCCTGGGCCATTTTACATGTGCAAATAGAGCGCAATGTTTTACTTCTCGATTTTAATTTCCAGAACACGTATGATGATTTTTCAGTCTCTTGACATGGATTAAACAAAGGTTATCATTTCTCGAAAGTTTTCTTCATCTTTACAACACTACTCAACGTTTGCCATGTTTGATTGTAACGAATTCCATGGAAAATGTTACATTCGAGAAAAATGAATTCCCTTTGACCGTTTGATTGCAACGTGAGAATTGAAATCGAAATCTAAGGTATAACCACTTTAAGCCGTATTTTCTTTGTTTTTATGGAAAATGAATTTTTATGAGTTTGATGAGTTTTTATTTTCCAATTGACATGGAATTGGAATTCCTTTCCACATTTATCTATCAAATGGACCCTAATTTCTTCTATGAGAAAATGATTTCTCAAGGCTCGTCCTGTCAACAAGTGGCTTCTTATGGCCCTGCACCGATGAGGTCCCTTCATGAAAAATTTGAAACTGATAATATCAAGGCTATCCCTAACCATATGCAGCTCAGAATGCTGCTTAAAGCCCGGTATAGGTTAGGACTTCGTATAAAGTTGTCGTAAGATCCTTAAAATCTGAAGGCCGACAATGGGGTTCACCAATCCATGCATCTCATGGGGTTGGATGAAAGACCGAGTTATTGTTTATGAAAGCTTTTGTGCCACCAATCGCTTGGTAATAAATTCAGTCTAAATGTACCGAATGTGGATTACCGAATTGTGTCCCTCCTCACACAATGCGTGCGGGTCCCATGTGTATTTAAAAATTTCGGCTTGTGATCTCCACCTCCAAATGTGAGTGGAGTGTAAAAGATTTTGTATAAAAAATTGATACATGTAGCATAACCCATAAATTAAACTCTTCATGCCACTTCTACTATCAAAGAACCATATGATCTTTGCATCGTATAGTGTCCACAATAAAAGTTTTGAAATAATGACTCTCGAGTCGACTGGTCCCACTCCACCAAAGGACGAGCCGATCCGAGTCGGGATTTTCGAACATGAGCTAGCTTGTGCTCGGCTTGCCCCATATACAATCCCGATCTTGCTCGTGTGGATGGCACCCCCTACTGTAGTGGTAGTATCTAAACATGTAGGATTTTGTAAGAAAGACCGAGCCTGAATTATGTTGAGACTATGGATGAATAAGTTTCAAGGACATCACTAAAAATAATCATTAAATGATTGATAGAACTACTTCGGAAACTTCTATCACTTTCAATTTGTAACACCCTTTTTATTACGGATAGACATTATCCGACTTGGTCCCGATTCAAATAAAAATGCGATTATTCGAGTATCATCGAAAACTCTACACATGAAACCAAAACGTATTACGTGCTATGGTCAAATCGAATTAGCCTAGAACATATTAGTTTTGGATTTTTTTTATTTATTCAAAAAATTTGTGTAAAATGTTGTTTTAAAATTAACATGTTTCATTTTTACGCTCTCTTTCAAACTATAAAAATGTCAATTTTTATAAATAGATATCAATTAATGTGAATTAATAATTAATTTAATGTGTCATTTAATTGTGATATTATACAAAAAATAATTGAAGTATAGAATTTCCATATTGTGTCTTAACTAATCGCTTAATGAAACTTCTCTCAAATATCCGCAATAGTTCTAGAGCTAATACGTACAGCAAATTTCAATTCTAAATAAAATTCATTTATTAGACAAAAAATCAACAAATTCCAAGTTCCTCAATGCATTAGATATGTGGAGACCGATCGACTAAACTCGACTATATAAGATAAGATAGGATAAATCTCCCAATTTTCTTTCTTCCTTTTATACTTAATTTTGTTAAATTTATCATATCATAAACATAAAAAATAAAAAATACAGGCAGAACTTTAAACAGTGGCGAAATGAAGACGTGAAAGGAAATATATGTAATATGTTTTCTTTTTGAAGATAATTTGAGAGAATAGAAAATGAATAATATGTATACAGAATGTGCTTATATCCACTCATTTTATTCCTTGACCAACACAACTCAGGATAGATTCAGACGAGCAGATGTTGTCTCTGCCACGCATTGTTTAGGATTCAAGTGGAACACGCAATTTATTTAGGCGGTTGTCTGCACTGTCTGTCTTAATATTAGTATATTGACGCGCCCACCAACTTGTTCAATGAGTGGATTATCTTAATCATAATTATTGTTTTTTTATTCATGAATCCCTTGCAAAGAAGGGGTTTGTTTGGCATTGCTTAAAAGCTAAAAGAACTTAAAAGCAGCTTTTTTTAATGAAAAAAATAATAAAAATCTGCTCTTTATCACCTGCCTATCTGTTTTGAGGTCCATTACTCATTAATTATTAATAGTTGCAATAATGAATCATGAAGCACGAGCAACTTTATTTACCTAATGTCGCGTTACATTATGGACATTGATAATAAAAACATA